GGAGCCGGGGGTTCAGTGTCTTGCTCAGGGACACTACGACACGTGACTGGGACGTGTCACGTGTCGTAGTGTCCCTGAGCAAGACACTGAACCCCCGGCTCCCCGGGCATCTGTCATTGGCAGCCCACTGCTCCCTATATACAGGGATGGGTCAAATGCAGAAGGCAAATTTCATGTATGTGTATATGTATATGACAATAAAAATGGTTTCTTTTCTTTCTACTGGTGAAAATAAGGGCCTGAATAGACGTGTAACATGGTGAAGCAGAGCTCAGCTTCCACTGAGCCACACAGACAGAGATCAGCACACACACACCTTCCTCTTCAGCTGGATCAGCTTCTCTGGTTTTCTCTTCACAGGAAGACTGTCACCAGGCTTCCCTGTTATTAAACACAGCACACACAATGAATACTGTTCAGATCAAGACAATCGTTTTCATGAGATCTCCTTTAAATTCCCCCACCACCGCTACTGTTCTCGCATTCTCCTGCATTACTATGTGTGTGTGTGTGTGTGTGTGTGTGTGTGCGTGCTTTACTCACCATGTCCATCGCTCTCCCCGAGTCTCCACAGCTCCAAATGACCAGCGAACTGGAAGAGCAGCAGTCCTGCTTTCTTTGCACAACACACCAGGCTTCTCTACACGGAGGAGGCAGAGGTAAGCATTTAGAACCCAGAGGTCTGCTGCGTGCGCCAAGTAGAACGCATTCAGAGGAGCACGAGCAAACACGGAGAGCACGGCGAGCCCCGGCTGGGATAACACATCGCGACCACAAAGTACACTTCATACAGTACATTCACAAGGTATTCACATCCTTTCACTTTCTTATTATTATGCATTGTATCATGTTGCAGCCTTATGCTAAAGTTGATTGAATACATTCGTCCCTCATCAATCTGCACAAAGCCAACACAGCATTCAGAGCCACCACTTCTCTGGCAGCGATTACAACCGGAGTCATCTTGGTACAGCAGTGTTGTCTCTTCTTCTACTGTATCAACATGTGACCCCACCGCTTATATCATCAACTTTAAATGATTCCGACATACCGAGCGGTGGAGAGATGTGCTTTTCTACTACGTCTGTACTCACATGTGGGAAAGCCACTTTGCGCATTGCTGACTCGCGGGTGTTCTTCTCCACCTTGTCCAACAGGGGGCGCACCACCAGCTGGGTGTCCATACCTGACAGATTACAAACATCATCATCTCATATAACAAGTTCATATATAGAATGGAAAACGATTTGTTTAGACCGTATACTTCATTGTGCAGTAAATAATCCTGTGTTTAGCACAACTCTAAAACATACAGGGTGTCTGAGTTAATACTGAAATATCAAAAATCACATCATCATTCTGTAGATTTCACTTGGTTTATAGTGAAGACGATTTGAGGACTCACTTGCTGCGTTTCCTCCCTAGTAGGATTGATAAACTTGTAACTCGTCCCGATACTGTTAATATTCCATCTCAATTCATAATGTGACCACAAGATAAATATATACACGACCACTCAACAGTGTGAGGTCACCTGCTACACTGATGTTTACCTCCAGTAAAGACTATCTTACCAGAGACCAAAGGAGATAGTTTGGGCCCCAAAAGAAGAAGAATAAAATGATTCAAACATATAAAACATATGTTTAGAAGATGTCTCAACAGTGTTTCACGCCAACAGGGGAGAACTCTGTTGTTACCATTTCCCCTTAAAATACCTACCATTTAGAATGTTTCCCATGAAACTAGATCATTAAGGATGCTTGCATTTGGGCTCTATATGTTTTGGATAGTCGGTTTATTTTGGGCCATCTGTGCAGTGTGTGTGTGTGTGTGTACACACGTACACACACACATACACACGTACACACGTATACACACACACACGTACACACGTATACACACACACACGTACACACGTATACACACACACACGTACACACACACACACACGTACACACGTACACACACACACACACACACACACACACACACACACACACACACACAGCAGTTGTGACACTGACCTCCAGACACCACAGCAGTGTCGGTATGGACCAGCGCCCTCACATCATGAGAGTGGTTTTTAAAGGTCCTGGTTCGGACCCAATCTTTATCGTGCCGGTCCACAGTGGAGGAGATGAACTGAAACTGGATGACCGTGCCCTCTGACGTCCCGGCTATCAGACTGCTCTCATCCTGTTGAATATGAAGGACGTTTGACATCACTGGTTCTCTGTGTATGTGTACCTAAAACAGGCCAGAGGTCATGTAATGTCCTAATACCTGAGAAACAGACAGAGCCAGGACGTCCCACTTGGTGACCAGGTGAGTTCTGACCAGAGTTCCTGTGAGTCCATCCCAGATCTGGACCTTTCCTGCCGAGTCACTGCTGATGATGGTGTGGTCGGACAGGAAGACAACGCTCCAAACCACCACCTCTTTGCTCTTGGAGGCTCCGACACCTCTCTCCACCAGCAGCCTGTGTGTGGCGCGGCCTGAAGTCCACAAACGCAAACCAACATTAATACAAGTTCACAATCATATCATTGGGGGATATTTTAGGAATACATGGGAGTTTAGAGTCAACATTCACAAAACTCATCTTCTAATGTTCCATTAGATGGTGGGCTCTGTGCCAACAGTTCAGGATCAGGTTTATCTACGTACCCGTCTCAGCATCAAAGATTCTGATCATGTCCATCATGCCGGCAGCAATCAGTGTACCAGAGGGATGCCAGGAGAGAGATATGATGCGACCTAGAGGATCACATCAAACTAAATCAAACTCTGAATGTCACTAAGTGGGTCTTCACACCTGGAGTTGGGTTCATTTGTTCCACATCAAGGGAAAAAACAACAATACATTGTTGCATTATAGTTCTGGTCCGGTTCCATTTGTCCTTGGATGAAAACAAAATGAATAATTATCAGAACTCAAAGTTAAAACCACACCAGTGGTCCCTACTGGCCAAGGTACACTCTGGGAAATCTGGTTTTATAGTTTCTAGATCAAAAATGTGTTTTCCACATTTAGGACACCACCTCCAGGAGCTCAAATATTAAGAGCAACTATCTGAACACAGGCGTGTATTAACAAGGTAAGCACATGCATGAATATGAATGAATGAATAGAGCTGCCAGTTGAAAAGCAGAAATACCTCTGGATCAGCTCCCTCTCTTACCTTTCTGCCTGTCGAGGTTTCTTTGAAACTGAATCCTCTCCTCCAGAATTTCAAACATCTTCACTGTCCCGTCCTCACAGCCGACCTGACGAGGAAAACATCCATTCAATGAATAATCAAAAGCTGAAGGCTTCAATTCCAAACATTACCGTGGGCCGGAAGAGTGTGAGCATCGGGCATAGAATAAATGCAATATCCACACGGTCTTGACTGACCGCTAGCAGTGTTCCCTTGCCACTGATGGTCCAGATCGGTCCTCCATAGGACTCCACCGTGTACCTGGGCCTCAGGTTCTCCAGGTCATACTCTGTGATCTCTCCATTCAATCCGGCACTGAACAGACGTCGGCCCACCCAACACAGAGCCTCCACAGCCCTGCCGTCCTGTCCTGGGATGACCTGTGCATCAGAATTAAAAACAGGTCTGGAGGTTATCCTCTAGTCTACACATTAGTCTGAGCAGACCTCTCTGATCTAGAGCAGACCTCTCTGATCTAGAGCAGACCTCTCTGATCTAGAGCAGACCTCTCTGATCTAGAGCAGACCTATGTCGATGTGTCCTTGGCCAAGACACTATACAAGTACAGTCCATTACCATTTAATACGGCACATTTACATATTACAGCGGTTAACTAGTTTATGTTTGAATGCATTCTTCAGACTTTCATTACAAAAAGCTGTGATCAACCAAACACACGGGACTCAGTCCTTCAGTCGACTGTTCCGTGCTGTTCGGTTGTTAATACAGAGTTAAGCAGATGACTTCGGATGCTCCACACGTGTGGAGGCTGTGTGGGCTTCTTCTACCTTTTCTTGGAAGTAGTTGTCAGCGAAGTTGAAGATCTCCAGAGCTCCACCAGTCCGGGCCACGGCGAGCCGCTCCGTGCGGCTGTTAAACGCCATGGCTCGGATAGCGGTGGGCATGTAGTCGAAGAACCGAACTCGGTGCACCTTGAACTCACCCATTGTGACTATTGAGAACAACACAAACAGGAGGCGGGTTGAAGCGGGTCCGGCGGCAGCAGAACACGTCCGTTAAACCCGCGGTTTGGTAGCAAAACCAGCGACCTCCCGGTCAGACACACCGGAGGACGACGAGCGACTCTTTGACTTCACCGGGACTCACAGAGACCAGAACACGTCGTTCACCGCTAAGTCACTAAACTGTCTCCGCTCTTCACGCCACACGCTGGAAAACATCCGCGGCCACGTTGAGAGCCTTTGAACCGGTAGTGAATCAGCCAAACAGTCGAAAACGGAAATACGTCATCACGCGGACAGTTCGCACTGCGCGCGAAATACTGGCGGAGTATAAACACGAAGTGAACGGTGCTGGTTAGAGACACCACAACAGCTGTGTTGGGATCAGCTGTGCTTACTGTTACACGACAGGACGATGGTTCAGATACTCATACGGTGAGATATTTATATTCATTCATAGACACGCGAGCGTTACTTCCGCTCTCTAATGTCTGGAGGACGTCCGCGCTATCGGTGCCGAAGTCTGAAGGGAACAGTGAGGTTCTAGTGAGGTTCTAGTGAGGAAGATATGAAGATAACTCGGACCATCCATCATTATCACATATCCATTATTCTTTAGAATATGTCAAGTCTGTATTACAAATGGCCTCAAATATAAATGAAGGTCTTCTTTATCACATGAACCAATAATAATGCAGATTAAAAAGACTTCACTGACACACATATATAACGATATATAGAATTACTGTAGATTATTATTTGAGGGCCTGAGATTGGCCAATGTGTTTTCTTGACTGTTAATCACGTCACTATTCTGATATAATGCAACAAAAATATAAATCTTTTTTCAAAAGTTATGAGGTGGAATGTTGCCCCAGGGACAAACCGGTGAGGTGAAGAGTAGCTGATGGTGATTCAGTTCTATTGATGTCTCCAGTATCAACAGTGTACACTAATGGAAGCTGATGTTTGAGGGCGCTCTGCTGTAGAGCTCAGGGGTGATGGGACCAGCTTTGACACTACAATAGTATGTTCTTCTAGAGACGAATGCTCTCCAGGTATGTTGAGCTGATGTTGGTGTGTATCACTGTCGGCTCTGCAGGGGCAGTGTGGATGGCAGCAGTCCTCCTGAATGGCTGATGGTGGAGCTGCAGGGAGAAGTGGTCTCCAGACACAACTCTGGTCTGGCAGCCAACGTAATGGGAGACCTGCTGTACACCGAAGAGGTAAAGACTGGAGCACACACTGGTGCTTTTCAAGTACAATTCTTGGCTTTTGATTGCAACCAGTGGCAACCACTTTCTAACATGTAACAAATATGCACAGCCCAAAATAAATACATCTTTAATATTTCCTGCCTTAGTGATATTTAAATGTTGCTGTTGGAGTCAGAACTGGAATCCGCCAACACTCTGTGTTTGTTGGTCTGTTTACTCTGTTTTACAGACAGTGAGGAAGTAAATACGTTGTTTGATTGTGGGGAGAAACTAAGAGCAGATCATGGCATCATATGGCTGTATAGCCAGGTTCATCTTCACATATCTCAAATTCATTATTGCACATGGGAACATAGCTATTCCTCATTTTTTTTCTCCAACCATGTTTTCTGTTCTATTTGTTTGTTTGGGCTGCAAGTAACAAACAACTATTTTCATAATCGATTTTAAGCTAATTCATTTCTCAATTTATTGATTAATTGTTTGGTTGTATAAAATGACAGGAAACAATAAAATGCTCATGCTTGAGCTCAAATAAAAGATATTAAACTAACACTATCATAGAAGAGGAAGAACATCAGCAAATCCCAGCAATAGATAAGCTGGAACCAGAGAATTGTTGCTTAAAAAATCCTTTTAAATTGCAGATGAACTTTCTGTCGACCAAAATATTCAATTAATGGACTGTTTTGTGTATTATTTTTTCACTAAATTATGATAGATGAGACCTACCCAAGAGCAGGTTGTCAATATGTATTTTCGGAAGTATACCACGGTTATCCAAACTTCTTCAGTCAAACGATGCCTGCGTTGTGTGACTCACTACCAGCAGCTACTACCCAGACAGCCGGGATCTGAGCCGGCAGTTGCCAGCTAACGCTGCTAATAGCACAAACAGAGCTAACGCTGCTAATAGCACAAACAGAGCTAACGCTGCTAATAGCACAAACAGAGCTAACGCTGCTAATAGCACAAACAGAGCTAACGATGCTATTGGCACAAACAGAGCTAACGATGCTATTGGCACAAACAGAGCTAACGATGCTATTGGCACAAACAGAGCTAACGATGCTAATGGCACAAACAGAGCTAACAGTTTGAAACTGTTACAATGACTCAATCGATTCGTCATTTTTTTAAAACAAAAATCTGAAACACTGGTTCCAGTTCCTCAATTGTGACTATTTACTGCAGTTCTCTTTCTTACGTGAAAGCAAAATGAAAATCTTTAGGTTTTGAACTGTTGATCCGACAAAACAAGCAATTTGAAAACTTCACCGTAGGCTCTGCAATATTTTTATGGACAGTTTTCACTATTTTTTTGCCATTTTCACTGTTTTCTGCCATCAGGAAAATAACCAACAGACTTATGGATAATGAAAATAATAGTTAGTTTTGGCTCTACTTGTAGCGGCCTTTCTTTGATTGCCAACTCTTGTCCTCAAGGCTCAATATGTATGCACATGTATGTTTTGCCACCCCATGGCACCGGTCAGTATATAGACTCTGCAGAGGTTCGGTAGAGCCGCTGATCATCAGTTAATAGATTATTGACTGTTCAAAACCTTGTTCTGCAACCATTAAACTTCCATGACGGTCATATCAGACACTTTTGTAGGAGAACGGTTCCACTCGTGTTGCTTTAGCTCTGAATGCAGCAGACGTTCATGTCTCAGCCGATGCTTTCCCTGTCAGTCCTCTCGTTTCACTCAGCTGTCTGTCTTTCCCCTCCACCAGGGGACGCCAGTGCTTATTATAGGACATCATATTCTCTATGGCAAGCAGCTCAAACTGGAGAAACCCTTCGCCGTCCTCACCAAGCATTCCAGCCAGTTGCAGGATAGCCTGGGCAGCCATGACCACGACGATGGCAGCGAGGATGTCACACAGGGAGCTATGGAAACAAACAAGCAAGGACCCGCCTCCACCTCCTACACCGTGTCTGCCCTCATCAAACAGAAGCTGATCTTTAAGACGCGCCCCAAACCCATCATCACTAACGTACCCAAGAAGGTGTAGCGATACGCCGTTTCATCACCGGGTCGGACGAACTGATCCATCCCACCTGCTGGACACTACCGGAAGTGTACTTCAGCTAGTGTTATCTCTGACATGCAGTTGGTCAATACAACACCTCTTATTGATCATTACTGCCAAACTCTGGCCTGAACCGATTCCTAGAGAGACTTTAATGAGGCTATGAATGAATGTTGTACTGTTCTCCTGAGATCTGTAGAAAAAGTTAAATCATCAGAGTCTAAATGCAAATGGACGAATGGCGTTGTGGAGGGAATACTGACGTTTTCGGCAAAAACAAAAGAAAAAATAAAGAATATTTGAAATCAGCAGCTTCAATCCATAAGTATATAATACATACATAAGGCAACATTTCCACCAGATGGCAAGTTATACTTTTACTGTGACTGGATCAGACGTCTCCACTGCAATGCATGTATAACCACGGGACATTGTTTCCAGATAAACTCTGAGCAAATGTCTGCAATGTAAACTGTGACAGTTCAATCATTTCATTCATGAAGAGTTGTTACTTGGTATCAGTGCACCTCTCTGTTCACCCACCACGTCTACTGGTACCAGTTCCTGTTTCCCACCAGGCATTGGTCATAATTGAATGTATTTTGTATGCCTGTTAGAAATAATCAATTGGTGGCAGGTAGTAGACAGGTTAGGGAAATATTACCACATAATACACTTCAAACCCCTGGACGTTCACTTTTGTTAATACTGCATTGAAGCAGTATTTAGAGGTTCAGCGTATCCCACAATTCACCCTGTTCTACTGTGCTGTGTTGGTGGCAGTGCTCCTGTGAGCTGGTTTGAGGACCGACAATAAGCAGACATGATGTTTAAGTTGATCACATGCTGGATTCAGCAGAAGTATGCTACTCATAAATACCGTAAGTGTGTCGGAACAGACCCAAGGCTCAGAGGTAGAGCCGGTCGTCCTTCCATCAGAAGATCGGCGGTTCGATCCCCGGCTCCTCTAGTCCCTGTTGATGTGTCCTTAACAGCTGAGGGATCAGTTTGGTGACAAACATTCACAATATTTGTCTCGGTCTTCTAGCATACAGCATTTGACATGTCGGCAGAATATTTACAGCGTGCAAGTGTGTGTGTGTTTGTTTGATGAAGGCGGTTCCTATGCTGCGGTGCTACCCTGAAGTGAAATGCCATCCTGTTGGTACGTGGTGACTGAAGGGACCGATTCATTCATCCTCTTCCCTCGGCACTCAGACACCTCCCACTTTCAAACAAACAGGCGTTCTGGCAGCATGTTTTTAAAGTTCTACCAAGAACCGTGATGTCAAAGCTCAGTCATTTCATCAGTGACTGATATTACTCACATAACTTCAGTAAAACAGCTTGTTATCTGTACTTACTCTCCATACTGGTCTGGAATGAAATAATAGCTTTTTATCAAGAGGTCCTGTAAAGAAGTCCTCATTCAGATCAAATGAGACCACATTTAGGAATGTCGGCACGATAGGTGGTGACACATAGTGAAACATTACTATGGGGTGATCTGTGGGGACACAGTGAAACATTACCATGGGGTGATCTGTGGGGACACAGTGAAACATTACCATGGGCTGATCTGTGGGGACACAGTGAAACATTACTATGGGGTGATCTGTGGGGATACATAGTGAAACATTACTATGGGCTGATCTGTG